AGTCGATCATACTCAGTGATTTATCACAGAAACAAAGAACTGAGTTCCATATGTTCTCACTCATAAGGTGACCTTGAACAATTATAATGCAATAAGAAAGTGATTGGCAGTAGTGGAAAACTGTCAGGGGAAGGGGGGTGGGATTGGCAGATGGGGAAGACTGCTAGGGGAGGAAGGGGCGTGCCTCATCAACAAGGGTACCTGCATGATCAATGTTTGTATACCTAACCCTGAATTGTACCCCACATCTTTATAATAAATAAATTAATTAAAAATTAAATACATTAAAAAAAACACACAGTCACCTCTGCACACATCAGAATGGAGCTCAGCTCTCACCCCTACTATTGGAATAAAATGTTTTCACCGCTTTAAAAAAAAATAATGAAATAAAATTACTTAAGGCAATCTACAGATTTAATAAAATTTAATAAAATAAAATAAAATTACCTAAGGCAATCTACAGATTTAATGCAATACCCGTCAAATTACCAGCAACATTCTTCTCAGATCTAGAAAAAAACAATACAGGAATTCATATGGAGACGCAAACAGCTAAGAATAGCCAGAACAATCCTCAGAAAAAAAACAAAGCAGGAAGTATCACACTACCAGACTTTAAACTTTACTATAAAGCTACAATAATCAAAACAGCCTGGTATTGGTACAAGAATAGACATATAGCCCAATGGAATAGAATTGAGATTCCAGAAGCAAAACCTCAATTTCTCAACCAACTCATCTTCAACAAAGCCTCCACCACCCACCACTGGGGAGAGGAGAACCTATTCAGTAAATGGTGCTGGGAAAACTGGCTGACCACATGCAGAAGATTCAAACAGGACCCCTATCTATCCCCATACACAAAAGTTAATTCTAAATGGATCAGAGACCTAAATGTAAAACCTCAAATCATAAGAACTTTAGAAAATGCAGGACACACTCTTATGGAAATTGGAACTGGCATCCAATTCCTGAGCCAAACCTGAAATGCACAGGCCATAAGAGATAAGATAGACAAGTGGGACCTCATTAAACTGACAAGCTTCTGCAAAGTCAAAGAAACAATTAAAAGAGCAGGGAGACAGCCCACAGACTGGGAAAAAGTATTTGCTAACTCCCTGTCCGACAAAGGCCTAACATCAAGGATCTACACGAACTCAATGTGCTAAAAAGAAAAAAACAAACAACCCCATTACAAAGTGGGCAAAAGATACGACAAGACACTTCTTAAAAGAAGACATATGAGCGGCCAACAGATACTTGAAGAAATGTTCAACCTCACTAGTCATCAAGGAGATGCAAATTAAAACTACACTGAGATATCACCTAACTCCAGTCAGAATGACCACTATCAATAATTCAAAAAATAAAGATGCTGGAGAGGATGTGGTGAAAAGGGAACACTTCTACACTATTGGTGGGAGTGTAAACTAGTGTAGCCTCTGTGGAAATGTGTGGCAATTCCTAAAAGCTCTAAAAATTGACCTTTCATATAACCCCACAATCCCCCTGCTGGGAATATACCCTGAAGAACTCAAATCACTCTATAAAAAAGTTACCTGCACACGTATGTTTATCACAGCATTGCTCACAATAGCAAGATCATGGAACCAACCATGCTGTCCATCAAAAGAGAACGGGATTTTAAAAAATGTGGTACATATACAGAATGGAATATTACACAGTCATAAAAAAGAACAAAATCATGAATTTTGCAGCAACCTGGGTGGAATTAGAGTTTATAATATTGAGTGATCTCTCACAGAAACAAAGATCTGAGCATCACATGTTCTTACTCATAAGTGGACCTTGAACAACTACCATAATACTATAAGAAAAGGATGGACAGTGACAGGAAACTATAGGGGGGAACAGGGAGGGGAAGGGAGGTGGGATTAACGGTAGCCAATATCTGTCTGGGGAAAGGGGGGCACACCTCATCAACAAGGGTACCTGCACAATGAATATTTGTCTATCTAACCCTTAACTGTATCCCACAACTTTAAAATAAAAAATATAAATTTGAAAAAAAAAAGAAATGCTGATTGACAGAGGGTCTTCAGCATCTTTGGTTTGGTGCATACATATGTGTGGGTTTTCTTTTATTTTCATTTTCTTCTTTTAAAGGATAGCTGTAAATGGAGTTTTTAAAAAAAGATATTTCTGTACAGTGTGCCTCGGGAATGCAAGACATTACATTTGAAACTCAGACTTTCAGGATGTTGGTTGCATAAATTAAATATGTATTCACCAACTTACTATCTGTTATAAATTGGCCAAAAGTAAGCCGACTGCATACACAGAGGGTGTGTGGGTTTGTGTGTGTGGAGAGGGGGTACACCAGGATGTGTTATTGGGTTGACTTTGTAAAGATTGTTTTACTGTTTTAAGTGTGGTCATTTTTCAAAGCATTTGAGTAACTCCATTATGCTCAAGCAGAACATTTGTCAAAAGTAATTATCTGAGTTTGGTGGAAAGGCCTTGCTCTGGTATGTTTTTGAATCCTAGCAAAGAGTTTTAGATAATTGACCCTGTTGCCCAGCGAAGAAGTGACAAAAGTCCTTTTTAATTGCAATCCGGTTATTGGTGGCTGGAGTGGCCAGGACCCTTTACTTCATCTCCTAATTTCATAGTGGGGTATGTTATCATCTCTCCCCTTCTCCGTGATCCTGTTAGTCGCTAAATTTCTTTTTCTGTGGATGAATGAGCAGGTGATAGTGATTCTGCAATGAACTGCCTCTGGGAGAGGACACTGAGTTGTAGACAGTGTGTTAGAAGTAAGCAGTAAGTATGAAGTAAAGGCCAGATTGATGTTATCACTGAGTTTTTGCTGGAGTGGAGTACATTACTTACTGCTTGCTCAGCCATTAACTCAGAATTGTGTGGGGGTGTTCAAGTGTTCTGAAATGCATTATTCAGGTTCCTTGGAGGGGCAATCAAGTATTATTACAGCGTTTCAGTATATATTTTAAACAAGTGAACAATGAATTGTTTTATAAATCTTTTAACATAATTATTCATGAACTTGCCATATCTGCCTGCAGAGGTTTATTTAATAAATAACATCATCCTGATGGAATTTTTAACAAATTAAATAAATAAATAAGTTGAGAACAGTAACAGGATGCTTACAGGCTGGTTAAAAGATCTACTAGAAAGAGACAAATCAGAGTGATGCATTTGTGTGGGGGAGAAAAGGAAAGGAATGAGCTCTAATGTTCAAGAAGAAAGATCAGCTTCAGAGAGTTTATGTTTTTTTTTTTAAAGTCAGGGTCTCACTCTGTCACACAGGCTGGAGTACAGTGGCATGATCACAGCTCACTGCAGCCTCAACCTTCTGGGCTGAGGCAATCCTGCTTCAGTCTCTAGAGCAGTTGGAACTGCAAGTGTGTGCCTCCACACCTGGCTAATTTCTTGTATTTTTGTAAAGATGACATTTTTACTATGTTGCCTAGGCTGGTCTAGAACTCCTGGGCTCAGAGATCCTCTCACCTCAGCTTCCCAAAGTGTTTGGATTCCAGGCATGAGCCAATGCACCCGACAGAGAAAAATCACAGAATTTATCTATGGTAAGAGGCTAGGAGGAAAAATATATTGGTAGATGTCATAATGGGTATCTGAAAAATTTCCTTCTGAGGGCTTCAGTTTCTCAGACTAGAAAGCAAAACTGTCAATAGGAAGTGGGAAGGAGAGAAAAGGAATTGGTCTTTAAAGATGAAATAAAATGGTGAAATAGTCATCAAGGGAGGAGAGAGAGTGAACGGGTGAAGTAGTAAAGTCAAGCACCAATGGTTAGATTACTCAGTGAGAACAAACAATAGAGACTCAGTCATTCTTTAATGAAGGACTAAAAGAGTAGGTTTTTTTCTTTTTTTTTTTTCTTTTTTCTTTTTCTTTTTTTTTGAGTTGGAGTCTCACTCTGTCACCCAAACATTAGTGGTGGGAGAGCTTACTCTCAAAATGATTAGAGCTGGCCAAGCTTGACAACAACAAAAATCAAGAAGCCTCTTTCTCTGCTTCAGATTCACCAAATATTCTGAGAAACCATCCCAGGTATGAATGTTCACTATCTATACAATTTTCTGATGATCGTCATCTGATTACCCCTAGAACGCTAATTTTCCATGCCTTAAATGACACTCAGTGTCTCATTGGACTCGTTGACCCTACTCTCCTACTGTTGATAAATAATTAATTCCTACTCCTATGAGCATGGAGAAAGAAGAAGAACTGCCACTTACCAGCATTCTTGTGGGTTTTCTCACTGCTGCAACAGATAAGTTTCCTGAACCAACAAACTGTGTGAAAAAGAGGAAGTAAAGCAGAAAAAGGAACGTTAAGTTAGTTTCGACAATTTTCTTTTTGACCCTCCCTTGTTTAGAAGATATCTAGCAATCGTTATACAAACCTCTTCCTTAAAAAATTCACACCCCCGAACTCAAAATTGTACTTGTTGCTGCTCATTATTTTATATAACTAAAATTTTAAATGAGTTTAATTTTGCATACATTTATCATCTTTTCATTTTTTTCATATTTGGCATTTTACAAGTTATGTGTGAGTGTGGCTACTTTAAAAACATATTAATGTATATAAATAGTTAATAGAATATGGTTATATTTATGTTTATATTAAATATAAATAATATTTACTTGCATACACATGGATGTATATATCATGCGCAAATTCTTACCCAAGTTTCAGATAAGGTTTTGATTTATTAAACTGGATGCTTTGGGGGCTTTTGTTTGTGTGTTTGTTTTTTATGTTGGAGTTGCCCAGGTTGGAGTGCAGTGGCATAATCTCAGCTACCATAGCTTCAACCTGCTGGGCTCAGGCAATCCTTCCGCCTCAGCCTCCCAAGTAGCTAGACTACAGTTGTACACTACCATGCCCGGCTAATTATTTTATTTATTGCATAGACAAGGTCTCTCACCATGTTGCCCAGGCTGGTCTCAAACTTCTAGGCTCAGGCAATCCTCTCACCTTGACCTCCCTAAATGCTGGGATTATAGGTGTTAGCCACTGTGCCTGAACAGTCTATTTTAAAAGATCTCTTTCTAATCTAAATATCTACATACCCTCTAGTTTTCAAAGTATTACTTTGATGTGTTATTATTCTCATGACCCTAATTTTGATGAATGAAATACTCTACCTAGTTATGATTTTCTCAAAAGCTTCATCCTGTTTTTTGCCTTGTAAGTCACATAGCCCTTTACCAAACCTCTCCTATGGATTGGGGGAAAAGTCACCAGAATCATGAACGACAAAGTCTTGCTAAATAAAATTCAATTGTTGAATTCTAGTTGATCATGAAGGAACAGGCTCTTAGTTCTGCTTCAAATAACAAAGAGATTATCAAAGGAACAGTTTAGCCACTGTCGCTTTGTATAAGAGCATGTACTCTGTTCTCATCTCAGCTTCATCTCATACTCACTCTGTAATCTTGGACAAATCACTACGTCCCTCTTTGCCTCAGTTTCTTTTTCTGCATAATGGAGATATACATATCCCCATGTTAACATTACCTACCTTATAGCTGTATGAGGATAAAATGGAATAATACATATATAGGGCTTAGATATTTTCTCATCATACAGAAACCATTCAAATTATTAACAATCACTAAAGTTCTTACATACATTTTTCCATTTAATTTTAGAGACCCAAAGAGAAGATCCTCATACTATTTTTACCATACTGGTGAGGAAGCTTAAGGACAAGAGCTCAAATATCTTTTCTGATGTCATACAGTGAATTAATAAGAGAGAAAGATGAGTAAATGGAAAGATATATAGTCAATTTACAGCAGAACATTATGAGGGGTGATCCAAAAAACCCATGCAATTTATTAAAAATTATATTTATTCTTACATGATTAAACTTGAGTCACCTTCAAAGTACTCTCCATTTGATGCAGCACACCTATTCAGACACTTTTTCCACTGCTCAAAACTGTTTTTGAACTCATCAACTTTGATGCCTTTTAGTGCTTCTACCATTTTTTTGTTTCACCTCCTCCACATTGGCAAAACATTTACCTTTGAGTACTTTTTCACTCAGAGAAACAAAAAAGTTGTTTGGGGCATGACTGGTTGAATAGGGAAGTTGAGGAATGGAGATCATGCTGTTGCTGGTCAAAAACTGCTGAACAGTCTGTGGTGTGGACAGGTGTGCTTGTAAATTACCCATCACGAAACTAGTTGAAAGAACCTCAACAACAACAAAAATCACTGATGCTGAACATAGCCTCTAACAACAATGTTAGCGGGTGCACTGATGCTGATGGGTTCCTAGAACACTTACCTAGTGGAGGAAGCCTGTCCTACAAGGGACCCATCCTCCAAACAATAATTCCGGGTTTTTTTTAGGGGAGACACTCCTTGTATTCAGTGGGGAGGGAGGGTATTAGCCCACACTATAGATAAAAGCAGATGTGGAGGGCCATGACATAGACAATAGACCTCACTCCTTAGGTGATGCAAAGCCAGAAGAGGCTTTCAGCCAGGAGAATCCAATGGTCAGATTTGAATCTCAGTGTTAAGGACACTAAAGAGAATAAAACCTGACTCTCTTTTGTGACAAACTAATCTCATTTCTTGGGAAAAGGAAAATCTTTCCTAACCAAACAATTGAAATTCTTCGTGATTCTTTATTTTACAATATGGAAATTTTCCATTTAGGTTATCAGAATTTATAATGCAAAGCAAATGTATATCTCAGCTTTCTTTAAAAAATTTGGAAAATTCTAGGAAAGAGTCTAGAAAAATTTTAATTACTTGGAAATAGTATATCACATAATCTTTTATCAGAATTTTTGAGGTCAAGAAATTTTAACCAAATTAAGTGTAATTTCCTTTTAGAAGAGAGTTGGAAGTCAATGATTTTGAAAAACCAAAAATAAAAATATATTAGAGTCCAAGACTTGTTATAAACGAATTTTTCATTATTTGCCAATCACATGTTCTATTCACTGTTTCCTTCTTTCTTTCTCTCTTTTTTTTTTTTTGGATTCAAGATCTTGCTCTCTCTCCCAGGCTGGAGTACAGTGACATCGTCATGGTTCACCGCAGCCTCAAACTCTTGGACTCAGGCAATCCTTCCACCTCAGCCTCCTGAGTAGCTGAGACTTCAAGCATACATCACCACATTTGACTTTTTTTTTGTAAAGACGAGGTCTTGCTAGTTGCCTAGTCCTCCGACTTCATCCTACCAAAGTGCTGGATTATAGGCGTGAGCCACCACACTCAGTCTATGTTCTCATCTTATATTTTATGGTATCATCTTTGTTGTCAATGTTCAGTTTAGAAGTGAACATGTGTAAATTCTCAAAGGTCTACCACCAGAATAAATAAGCTAATAACAATTATGATAGTAACAATAACAATAATAATAATGACTGATTAACAAATAATTCATATCACTCTTAAAAAATGAACTATCAGGTAAGTAATAATCAAATGAAAAAGCCTAGCCCAAAGTCTATTTTATTGTGATTAAAATTTGACCCATAGTGAAAAAATGACTGTGATTTTTAAACAATAATTAGTAGACACATTTCTTATATCCCAAGCCAGGACTTTCTGCTGCACCACAAGAAAATTCACCAATACTCACTTTTCATTATTTTTTTCAGTATCTATAAATTTAACATATAAATATTAAGTTAATGTTTGGGATTTAATGTGTACTTAGCAAATATGATTTCTTTCTTTTTTATTTTTTTGAGTCAGGGTCTCATTCTGCTGCCCAGGCTACAGTACAGTGGCACAATCGAAGCTCACCTCAGCCTCAACCTTCAGGTATCAGGTGATCCTTCCATCTCTGCCTCCCTAGTAACTGGGACTACAGGCATGGGCCACCACATCCAGTTATTTTTTTTTCACTTTTATTTTTTGTAGAGATGAGGTCTCACTACGTTACATAGACCAGTCTTGAACGCCTGGGCTCAAGTAACCCTCTCACCTCAACCTCCCAAAGTGCTGGAATTATAGGTGTGAGCCATTGTACATGACCATTATTTCTTTTAATCAGAAAGAAAGTAGCTTTTTGTTTTACTTGCTTGTGTCAAGAAATACAAAGCAAAGTCACAGCATGCAATCTTCAAATAACCTACAACGATTACAAACAATGCTTTCATAATCAAACACATTTCTAGCAGTGGTATCTAAGAAATGATTTATGACCAGGGGAGTATGGATACTCACAAGCATAGCACCCCACAGTGGGTAACCTGTGTAGAAAGTGAAGAAAAAGAAATGTCTGACGAGATGGGATAAGTACTATAAGGAACCCAAAAAAACACCCATAGCCAGGATCATTGCTCCATTCAAGATTTGAATGGCCTGTAAAAAAGAAGAAAAAGGTTTAACAGTCTCATGCTAAAGTGTACATTGAGAATAGACCCTTTAAATTTACCTCAGAAGGGAAATGGCAGCTCTTGAAATGGTTAAAATGGCAAGTCTAAAATAATCTGGCAAGAATTTATCCTAGGGAGCTTTTTATTCCACTTCTTCACCAATTCCAGTGGCACTCCTACATCCTCACACATCCCCCACATTTCTGTTCATTATCACCAACCCCTCTCATAAAGTAGCAGGACAGTGAAGGAGACATAGCTGGTAAGGTAGATGGAGTCTAAGTCTCTTCCCAGCATGCTCTGGGGCCACAAAATGGCAAAGGTAGACAGATGGCAAGAAGTATTTTATTCAGTCTTTCTCTCAACCCAATTTCTAAATTTAAAATGTGGAACACAAGTTTCATAGAGCTCAATCTCCTGAAATGGCTGGCCAAAAGGCACAAAGAAAAGATAGAGGGTCTTGGAATACATTTTCCAAGGCTTGATAAAATCTTTTTTGTCATGAGGAAATGACTCTGCATTTTTACTCTGCAGGTCTATAACACCAAGACTTTTCTTCAATTTGTCATTGACTCAGTGGTAAATAATGCAGAAATTCCTTCTTATGGACACAAAGTTTCCCACATGATATAGTTTACCCTTAAACAACATAAGGGTTTTGGAAGTCTGCCCCATCTCCTTGCTGCTGAAAATGCACAAGTAACTTTTGACTTCCCCAAAACTTAACTACTATTGGTCTATTGTTGACTGGAAGCCTTACCAATAACATAAACTGTCAATTATTACATATTTTGCTTGTGATGTGTATTACTTATTATATTCTTAAAGTAAGCTAGAGAAAAGAAAATGTTATTGAGAAATTTCTAAGGAAAATATATTTATTACTCATTAAGTGAAAGTGGGTCATCACAAAGGTCTTTATCCTCATTGCCTTAGCATTGAGTTGACTGAGGAGGGGAAGATAAAGGAGGGGTTGGCCTTATTGTCTCAGGGATGACAGACAGAAGCAGAAGGAAATCTATATATAAGTGGACCCTCACAGTTCAAACACATGTTGTTCAAGAATCAATTGTATTTATTTTTTTCCTTCTTAAGCCAATTTTTAACTAAGGATGACTTACTCCAAGGACTTGTAGTTTTCCCTTCTGATTATCTTGTAATCCATCAATGGGCTGGTATACAGAATTATGTGCACCCTGTGGTCCCACCTTGCTGCCTGGGGTACCAGCTGCTGAGGCTGTCCCCAGCTCTGCATTCTCAGTTTCATGGGAAGCCATCTGGGACTGTTTATGGCTATTGCAGAAAAGAAATTCAAAGGCTTGATGTTTTTCCTTTACCACTAGCTAATAATATTTTTGAGTGTAGTAGAAGGGTTCAGTTCTGTCCATGAATCGCAATGAGTCCCCACAAATGGGGCATGAGGACAGAATAACAGTGTTTGTACATTGTTCAATTCCTGGCTGGGCACAGCACTTTGGGAGGCCAAGGTAGGAAGATTGCTTGACCAGAAGTTCGAGATGAGCTTGGGCAACATAGCAAGACCTTGTATCTGCAAAAATCAAAATATTAGCCAGGCATGGTAGTACACACATGTACTTCCAGCTACTTGGATGGCTAAGGTGGAAGGGTCGCCTGAGTCCAGCAGGTTGAGGCTGTGGTGAGTCACAATGCTGTCACTGCACTGTAGCTGGGATGACAGAGTGAGACTCTTACTCAAGAAAAGAAAAAAATCCATTTTGTCCTGGTGCAGTAGACATCATCGTGGCATTGTAGCAGGTTTGACACTTAACTTTGGAATGATAAAGAACAATCCCTTTCTCTTTTTCACATACACTGACATGTAGTTCCTGCCTCTCTTCAAATTAATCATGGGCAACCACACATACGATTTCTCTGAGCAGTGGATTCATATGTGAGAAGGATGACCTTAGTCACATTCCAGTACTAACAATAGGTATCATTTATTGAGTACACACTACTATGTGCCAGGCTCTGTCTAGTTTCTGTGAATGTACTAACGTATTAAATCCTCCCAACTATGTTGCAATATTATCCCCATTTTACAGATGAGAAAATTAAGGCATTGAGGGGTTGAGAAATTTACCAAATCTCATATAGCTCACAAGTGATTTCAGACCCTACTAGAGACATTCCACTCTAAGATACAATATTTTTCTATTTTTCTTTTCTTTTTTCTTTCTTTTTTTTTTTTGAGTTGGAGTCTCACTCTGTCCTCTGTCACATGAGCTGGAGTGCAGTGGCATTCTCACAGCCATCCCAGCATCGACCTTCTGGGCTCCAGTGATCCTTCTGCCTCCACCTTCTAAGAAGCCAGAACTACAGGTGTGTACTACCATGCCCAACTAATTTTTGATTTATTGTAGAGATGAGGTCTCATGAAATTATCTGGGCTGGTCTCAAGCCCCGAGGCTCAGGCAGTCCACTTGCCTCAGCCTCCCAAAGTGCTGGAATTACAGGCTGAGCCGCAGAGCCCGGTCAGTACAATATTTTTCAAATCATTATATAGCACTCTATAGGGGATGTCTTTCTGAGTAGTAATATAGCAAGGTGGAGTTTAAGCACTATGGAAGAGCCAGATTCCACTGGTAGTAGTAACCTCAGTCTTCACATTGGTGAACTGGGAATAATTTTCATTTCATAGTCACATTGCAAGGGTCAACTTTGATAATGTATGAAATACTTAACCTATAAAAAGGTATTATCACCTTTTAACTTCTTTCTGCCAAAAAGGACTTAAAGTTTTATCTATGAAGGTCACTAAACAACCCCCTCAATCATGACAGGTGAAACTAAAGTACATACAGAATGTGTATACTGTACTTCTGAATGCTGGACAATATAACTTTCTAATATCTATTGTCCTCCAAAGCAAAACAATTGCAAAATGCTAACATGGCCAGGCACTGTGGCTCACATCTGTAATCCCAGCACTTTGGGAGGCCGAGGTAAGAGAATAACTTGAACCCAGAAGTTCGAGACCAGCCTGAGCAACATAGCAAGATTTCATCTCTACAAAAAAGATCAAAAAATTATCTGGGCACGGTGTTGCATGCCTGAAGTCTCAGTTACTCGAGAGGCTGAGGCAGAAGGATCGCCTGAGCTCAGGAGGTTCAGGCTACCATGAGCCATGCTCATGCCACTGCACTCCAGCCTTGGCAACAGAGTGAGATCCCAACTCCACACACACACACAAAAGGAACTTATATGCTTTTATAACTGATGAGGTAGATGGCATGAATTATACTACATGCTACTGAATTCTGCCAAAACTATAGATTGAGTTCAGAATAGGATCTTAATTTCTACTTTGTATTAGAAATTGTATAGCAGATCCATTTTTCTAATAACTTATTTTTTTTCTAAATAAACACATACCACTTTCTTTCAGGATGTTTACCTTTCTAATTCTTTATTATGGGGGCGTGTATCATATTCATTCAAGTATAGTAACATATTTCTTAGGTGCTAATTTAAAAGAAAGTATATGGTCAGAATATGTTCTATTTTTATCATACCGGAAATGGCTATAAAAGTTCATGAACGTTTCATGAAAGTTTCCTACTGATTCTGATTTTCATGCTAGCATTAAGTGACATTCTCCATCTATTTAAACACTGATAAATGTGAAGCACAAGAAGCCCTTATCTCCTGTGTTTGACAATAAAACTTACAACAATCTCTATGTTAATGAATGAACGATGCAATCATGTACAAGATGTATAAGAGGAATAGACAAAAGTAGACTTTTTTTTTTGAGACAAGGATACATTCTGTCACCCAGGTTGGAGTGCAGCGGCACAATCGCTGCTCACCGCAGCCCCAAACTTCCTGGACTCAGGGGATCTTCCCACTCAGTCTTCCAAGTAGCTGGGACTACAGGCTTGTACCATCACACCCAACTAATTTTTGTATTTTTTGTAGAGATAAGGTCTCCCTATGTTGTTCAGGCTGTTCCCAAATGATTCTCCCACCTCAGCCTCCCAACATACTGGGATTCTAGTCAGGAGTCACGGTGCCCAACTGAATTGCCTCATTTAAATCTCTCTCACACCTATGTTGAACATCACCTTGCAAAGCCTGGGCTTCAAATGTATCTGCTGGAAAATGTGTATGCATTTTAAATGAAATATCTGATAAGCTCAGTTGTGTATGATGTGGGGACATTGCCCTTTATGATCAGATAGGCACAGGCCTGTATCTCCAGCTATTCAATTACTTATTGAATGTACTTTTAAAAAAAAAATTTACAACAGCTTTACTGAGATATAATTTTGGACACTACATCCTCCTAGAAATGGATTTTGCCAAGATGCAATGTTTTATTAGTTTTTAAAAATCAAAGTGCTATTTTATTTTCAATAAAATGTTGCCTGGGACTGTTTACTTATAAAGAATTTGACCGGGAGCAGTAGCTCACACTATAATCTCAGCACTTTGGGAGGTGGAGATGAGAGAATTGGCTAAGCCCAGAGACCTCATCTCTACAATAAATCAAAAAATTAGCTGGGTGTAGTGATATGCACCTATATTCCCAGCTTCTTGAAAGGCTAAGGCAGAAGGATTGCCTGAGTCCAGCAGGTCGAGGCTGGGCAACAGAGTGAGACTCCAACTCAAGAAAAAAAAAATCAGAGAAATGTAGATTTCCTAGAAACCTACCAATTACATTCCCCTCCCCAACTCTTAGTATTTGACAGGAGTTGTTCTAAGTGCTTTACATGTGTTTACTAATTTAGTTCTCCTATCATCCATCTGATTGGGTACCACCCATTATGAACCTTTTAATTTCACAGATAAGAAAGCTGAGGCACAGAAAGATTAAGTAACTTGCCCAAGGTCACACAGCCAGCAATTTGGAAAGCTAGGAATCAACACCTGGTAATCCAGCTGGAGTGGTTATTATATGATACTGTTCCCTGAGCTTATGCTGAAACTCACTCCCCAAACCTCATACCTCAGATATGTCCAGACCATCTCGCATGATTGTGATCACAGCTGGCAGACAAACTCAGGTCCAGCCACTGGAATTTAATATCTCCATATATATATGCACATATACATGCCCACATTTTTTCAAAGCAATAGCTGTATTATCTAGGGTACCAGCAAAAGCCCTACTGAGAGGTGACATTTGAGCAAAGACCTGAGGTGAGCAAAGGGGTGAGTTTGGCAGAAATTTTGGAGCCTCGTTCCTGGCAAAGCAAACAGCAAGTGCAAAGGCCTTGTGGCAGGAGGCTTCCTGGCTTTTCCAAGAAGCAGCAAGGAGATCAGTGTGATAGGAGCAGAGAGAGTAATAGCAGGAGATGAGATGCGGGAGAAACAATTGGTTAGAGGTGAAAAGACCAGATCACTCCAGGGCTTTGTCTGACACTGTAAGCCTGAAAAATTGAGTGAGTTGGAAAGACATTGATGAGTCCTGTGCAAAGGAGTGACATAATCTAACCTGGATTTATTGCTCTTTCCCTGGTAAACAAAAACCTTCATTTTACACAGTCAAAAAAAGAAAAAGGAAAAGGAAAAAGAGATTGCTGTATTATTATTTTATCATGGTTCCAGAGCCTCAATCAGATTCTAGGGGGAAGTCATCTTCATAGCTAAATATTCCAATTCTCTTCGTAACAACCCACAGAAACCCTTGCAGTCATCCTCAGTGGCCCACCAGGAGGCACCTTTAACAGCCAGAAAAGAAAGGGGGATTTTTACGGAAAGAAAATCTACAGGGTTTACCTTGGAGGCTTCAGGTTTCGGCAGACTTCTCTGCTTTCAAGTCCATCTCGTAGCCAGGTAGGAGATCAGTAATGATCACTACCATGTCTTTTCTGGAAAACTGCAGCCTCTTCAGGTGTAACTTACCTTTGCCCTATGCAACACTTTAGAGGAGTCAGTGAAAATACTTTGCTGGCTGATGGATGGGTGAGCTAATCTCATTTGCATTTGAGGTCTCTCTAACCCTTTGTGCTTCCCCAAGGCTCAGGGACGATTAGGAAACCTGTGTCAGGGGCAACTGTCTGTTGGCTTTCAGATAGTGCTTAACATGATTGGAACTAGAAACACAAGCAGCAAATAATGGGTAGAGCAGAGGAAGGTGGAGGCAGAATGGAGTTTGTTGCACAGCAAGACGAGATAAAGCTAGAAGGCAAAGGAAGTATCAGGAACAGGGAGGGTGGTCACTCAGGCACTTATTTTATATAACATGCCAGCAACATCCCTATGTACAGCACCCGGATGATCCCATTCAATACTCACAGGCTTAGGCAGT